TGATTACATCTCGGGTTTGACAAAACCCATTAGATTGCATTTATTCACTTAAGACTTTTGGCTCACATCATATTTTTAACTTTTCATCTGTCTTCACTGAACTTTGAATTTTTATTCTTGGTCAAAAGTTTTTGCCATTGCCGAGCGGAAATTGTGAAATAAATTGAAATGCAAGGCAGGCACATAAATTATTTGCCAGTCAACAGCTGAGGCAAATAAATAAAAATAGAAATGCATTTTTTGGTTAGATCTTCAGGCTTGGGACATGTCTCGTTGGCAAGTCCATAAAACTATCAGCAAATTTTGGTAGAATTAAAATATTTATGCTTTGTACGTGAGCCACATGTTTATGTGTCATTGGGGGAGCAGTCTTGGCTGCATTTTCCATTTTCCTCTGACTTGTATTTATTTGTTCATTTTTTGTTTTTTGGATATGCAACAGCATGATTTGTTTATTGTTTTAATAAACGTCAGCAATTTTCTTGGGGCTTTTAAAGAAACATTTTGGACTGCCGGCATGTGCGTATGATTAATGTGGCATTGTCAACAGTATTCGGAAAAACGAACCAACCCCTTTTACTGCATTTCCAGCCAGTCGAACAAAACTAAATGGAAAATGGAAAGCGGCAAAAGGCAAAGGGAAAATTGAAACTTTCAATGCAACCAAATGCAATGCCACAATGATTTATGGCCCAACTTGAAAATGGACGATTGTTTCACTCGTTTCGGGAGTTGGCAGCAGAACCCATGGAAATTGTGGAAATTGGTTGGATTTTGGGGGCGGCCGAGCCATTGGGGGCGTGTCCCTCGGTGCTTATGGCCCTCGCCATTTATTTAAACGTACGCGAAAAGCGAACAGCGAATCGTGCAGCGATTTCCTCGATTGGAAAAATTGAATTATACCCATTTGATGAGCATAATAGAAACTGGCAGCTGCCTTTTTCCTTTAAATGCCTCAAATTTCGGTTAAAAAATGCAGTGCCATATTTGGACAGCAGTTATTGGCAGGCAATAAAATAATAATATTTTTTGGATTACATATGCTACTGAAATAATTTACTTTTATGGAAATTCAAGTATTAAACTAGTTTATTTAATGTTTTGTTAATTATTTGAGCTCTTTATAAATATAGTAATTTAATAAGTTTCAAATGAATAGTTTGTTAATATTTTTTTTAAATATATAGGTAGAGCGCTCCAGTTTAAATCTCCATTTCCAGCTACTTAAACTAAGCCCGAGCTTATAGTTTTTAAATCCAATGCCATTCAGCTGGTTTCCTGCAGCATCATCACGCTGCCTTCGCATACACGCACTTTTCACATCCACTTTGCTTGACGGCGGAAAAATCCCCACCACCGATTGACGCGAGAACTTTTAGCCAAGTTTATTGCATCAGAACGCAAAAGCCAAAAAAAAAAAAAAGAGAGCGGAACAGGGCCATTTAGCCGGAGGAAAGGCGATCTCCGTAACCCGCTCAATTGAATAGACAAAGAGGGGCTCTCAGACGCGCCCCCTTTCAACACAGAATCCCAGGAACCCCCCCCCCCACTGCGCAGGAGGTGGCATTTTTAACAGGCTCTCAGAAATCGACAGAAGGGTGTTTGGAGCCCAGAATTCACCTGTTCTGTGCAACGCCAAATTGATGGAGACAGAATGACAGCCAGATTGCAGGGGATCAGAAGGGCCACAATTGGGGGTTATTACACTGAGACAAATAAAGGCTTGTTTGCCTTCGTTATATGCTTAAAGTTTACAGGTACCATAAACCAATGGAAACTTTTTTTTTAATCTAAGGGTCGTTTTCTAGACTGCTTGTAAAAGTTAAATTGGCGTTTAAACTTTGAAAACGTAGGGGAATTCAGAGCTTAAAGCCTACTGTAAGTTTAACATGAGGAGGTTATATAAATTTCATATTTATGTTTGTGGGAAAATTTCAATATTAAAAGTATATTACTATAAAAACCTAAAAATTTTTATAACCAAAAATAAAATAATGGTAAAGGTTAAACAATATTTTTTAAATATTTATTTACATTTTTTACAAACAAAACGTGTAAGAAAGTTATCTACTGCATAAAAGTTTTAAAATATTAGAAGTTTGGCACTTTTTTTTTCTGTGCAATGGTTGCTTAAAAAAGAGGTAGCTCAGAAGTAGAGTCCTGAAGTTTGGCGACGGCGGCCACTGTTCGTAATCCACTTTCGTGTCCTGTTCCTCCTGCTGCCTTTCGTTTGAGCCGCAAACATTTTAGCTTTTATGGCCGAAAGGCGCAAAATATGACTGCCAGTCAGACTGTCGGCGCGCACACATGCAAATGCAATTTCCAAAAAATTTTACGCCCAAAAAGTCGTCTATGGAAATGTGGTTCGCAAAAGCGAACCCAAAAATTTTCCGTTGTTGTAGTTTTAAGTCGCTCGATAGCGAACCCCGCCGAAAAAAGATGGGAAAGCGAGGGAAAAAGTTTTCGCTTTGCCATAAACCGATTTGGTAGCAAATTTTATGTCGTTTAGGTGGAAAATTTCCATTTGACTGCCCTTCGCGGGGATCAAGGATTCAAGGAGCTCCTGTCGACCGACGGGGAATAAGCTTTGTTTGTTCGATTTTTTGCACTGACTTATTTCTGCAGTTGCAGTTTATCGTTAATTGACATTACCGAGGGTCAAAGGCAACTGAAATGGCATCAGACTAATTGAATTCCAGGTGGGCGGCAAGTGGAAAAGCGGAAAAGCTTTTCATTAACCGTTGGCACTTTGTTGAAGCATTTAAAATGAAAGTGATAGGTACTAAAATGGTATTATATATACTAGAAGGGAAAGAAAACTGCTTACATTTTGATCATATCGAATTGATATGCCGCATATCAAGTCAAATTTAACCCCACATAATATCAAAATGATCATCGATTCATGTAAAGTTTTTTTTGGTTTACTTATACTCCCTTTAATGCATTTTAAACAAACTTTCTGTGAAATTATTGCGACCTTATTTTACCGATTTGTATTTAAAAATGCTTTTACAATAAATATAACAATTATTGGCTGAATATAAAAAGATTAATTTGGCTTCAATTTGCGAGGAAGTTTATTAAGCCTCTTCCACTTTTTACCGGCCACCTTTAAGCCTTATAAAAAGTGCATTTGTTTTTTGCCTGAATTTTTTGTTTGATACTTCCTTTATGCCAAAACATGGCCAATTCGAATCAATGGGAATCGGAATTAAATGCAGGATCCGTGTGTGCAATCGAGCGCATCCGGCGGCAGATGCTGTGCGGTTGTCCTTGCATCGAGTTGGGAGATGGAAATGCGAGCCTGTTTGTCCAGATACCAGATATATCCACCTATATGTGTATGCTGCATACATATGTGTGCAGCGTATAATGCCCGCATGCTGCTAGTATTTATTTTGCGTATGGCGCGGACTGTATCTCCCACTCGCCGAGGAATCCATAAATAAACGAAACGAAACCAAATTTGCGAAATTAATTAAATCGACAGCAAAGTAACGTGTGCGCTTTGCGTTTTACGCTTTGACTGCGGCCAGTTTACAACCCAAACAATTCAGCCGTCCAACCACCGAACCACCGAACCACCCACCACCTACCACCCAAACACTCAACCACCCAACCACATACGTAATTGTGAATTGTGCATTGTGCGGATGACGCGACTGTGAATCACATTTGAAGCAGAAGCCTTGAAAGCCTGAAATTCATCGGATAGATTTAAAGTTTTTTTTTTTGTAAAATTGTAAAATTGAAATTTTACTGAAGGCTTAAAAGAAACCAAAAAAATTATCTACAAATAATCGTATTGGGAACTCAGAAAATTATATTTTTAACCATTTGGTGAAATTCTGGTTCTTTGTCCACGACTAACGAAATATTTTTCAAGTATTTCAATGAAATTGGATTGAATTAAATTTGTTAATCTCCAGGACCATAAATTAAAAATCAATTAACATTAAACCCAATTGCCGTGTAATTTGTAATCCCCTTATCTTTTAGGTACTTCATTAATTTCACAACTTTAAGAACTATTTTTTTCCCGTTTTAAGCTTAGTGTTATCTACTAGAGTACCGCTTACAGAAATACCCATAAATCAATGAGCAGGAACATAATTTAGTGTCTGGTACATGGGTGTATCAAACGCAATCCTCTTACCCCTTATCTACCTTCCGGCCAACAGGATCATTTCAGCGAGTCAGATTGTCCGGCGGCTATATATCTGCATATCGGAATACTGGCTTAATCTCTGCCGGGAGCAGCAACATCGGTCGGTCGGCTGGGTCATTGATTTGCATTTGCACAACTCATTAAGGATTCACACTTCCCCAACCCCTTCTCCCCCAACAGACACACACTTACGCTTAAATAATTTAATATTCCGAGTGTTTCGACATCGAAATTCGCACACATCGATTGGCGGAGCTGCGGGCGTTTGATAAGAGGCCTCCATGTCAGCCAACTCACAATATTCAGCTCGACTCAATCGGCAATTAATGCCACTCGAATTGCCTGATTTGCCTATACCTCCGATGGATAGGCGAAAGAAACGCTGTCTCATTAATAACCGAACCCGGCGTGTGCATACATCACTCATACGTCACGTTGGTTAATCCATTCGTCAGGTTCAGCAGGGGATGTGCTTGAAGGGGGTTCCCCCTAAGTGTCTGTCTAATCTGTGTCTATGGATGTGCCCATAACCCGCAGCCTGTGTTTGCGGTATCAATCACACTGTTAATCCCGATGTTTAGGCCAGATTATGTGGGGGAGTTGAAAGGGTTTTCAGTTGTAAGCAGACACATTCTCAAACAGGATGACTGATGGCCAAGTGTTTAGTAAAAATTAAGAAAGCTGAGAAAATTTACATTTTATTTATTAGTACACTTCCCTAAATTTTTAAATAATTTAAAATACAAACTGTTGCCTGAAATATTTATGTTTAATCAAGTGAACCTGCCTGAAATGTCAATAGATCTAAGTAAACTTTTTTAACCGGACCTGGGCACTCGCCTGTTCCCAAGAAAAATGTTCAGGAGATCCGCAGCGCCCATACCCAAAACCCATGAAAGAACCCCGGGACCGCGAGGTCAAGACACCAAGGGGAACAATGAGCTCTTCCTCAAGGAGGTCTTTAATACCACCAATAAATATCGGGCAATGCATGGCTGTCCTGCCTTAACCATCAATGCGGAGCTGAATAAATTGGCTCAAGAATGGGCTAATGTGGGATAAGAAAAATTATAACACAACCTAAAATGATATAAAATATTTATTTTTAATTACCAGCATCTTCGGGATCAGAACACAATGGCACACCGACCCAATCCCAAGTACGGCGAAAACATTTTCCTATCCGGTGGAATGGATGTGACCGGAGATCTGCCAGTGGAAATGTGGTATCGGGAAATCAATAGCTACGACTTTCAAAAGGGTCAATTCGTGCCCACTGCTGGTCATTTTACGCAGCTCATCTGGAAGTCCTCGAAGGAAATGGGCTCGGGTGTGGCGCGCAAGTGAGATTCAGTTCATTTATATTAACTTGATTTATTTATTTCTTGTCATCAGAGCGGACAGAACGTGGGTAGTTTGCAACTACAATCCTCCCGGCAATGTTGTGAATTTGTTCAAAGATAATGTGCCTCCTAAAAACTAATCTTTTGGCTTTACTTATCGAAATGTAAAGTATAATAAAATTAATTAATATTATAGAGAAGTTTTTAGCAAACTCGAGGTCATGCCGGCTTAGACTTCAAGAAGTCCAAGACGTCGGCATTATGCCAACACACAAAAAGGAGCGAAGAGGCTTCACTGTACATGCATGTTTCATGTAGTAGCCAACTACAATCATCAGCAGTGAAATCGCTGTCTTAGTCAACGATCGAAGTGGGTTACCATGTAAGCCGCGCTATAACTGGTTGGGAATTATAGCGTCGCCAGATCGGTAAACTTCGAAAAGCTGATCAAGCCCTTAGTGTGTGTTGGACTTTGTTCTGTCTTTGATCTCTATCAGAGTTCCGTGGCAGATTGTGAAGAATATGCATTACTGCATATTTTTAGGCTTCCATATAGCAGCCTTTTACGGCGTGTTGACCGTTTTTTGTCCAAAGTTTGGCTTTTTTGATACGACCTTTTTTCGTTATAGAGAAGTTTTTAGCAAACTCGAGGTCATGCCGGCTTAGACTTCAAGAAGTCCAAGACGTCGGCATTATGCCAACACACAAAAAGGAGCGAATTATATTATGTATATTTGTTACGATTTTATTGAAACAATTAGTAAAAAGTTTTAAGTTTCGACTTGAATCGAATATTTTTAGATCTTTTGATTTCCTCCGAATCGTCTACCAAGTTTTTTCTTGGCTGAACATTCTCCTTGTAATGACCACTTACATTACCAGGTGGGTGGTAATTGCACACAATCCATATGTGAGAATCACTAAAAATAAAATTAGTTAAATATACAGGTTTTCGATGGTTACTAAATAACTAAACCCACTTGGAGGCCACGCCCACTCCCAGGAACTCTGTTTCTCTCCAAACCATCTGAGTAAAATGTCCGGTATATAGATCGAAACTTGGCCTATAGTAATTGTAATTGTACTTCTCTTGATACCAGAGTCTCATTATTTGATCAACACAGAAAAGTGATTTACGGACACACATAATGTTCTCACCATAAAGGGGAAGAGGTCGAGTTTCCAGGAGATTCTTTTCAGCCAGGTGCTGAAGGGGAAAAAGTGTTAGAGTAAATAAATCTAGAATATCTCTCAATAATAATCTCAGTAATCTGTTGGTTTCACCTACATCTGCCCACTCCTGTGCATATGAAGCTAGTTCCGCATCCATTTTCAAGGGACTGGCGTTGTGGAGTTTTCGATATTTATTGTTTTCTCTCAGTATAGATTGTTTAACTGCCTTGGTTTGTAATTTTGGAGCTTTGGTTTTATAGAACTCCTGCAGAAGAGACTTCTCATAATTCGTTTTGCTCAGAATGGAACACCTAGAAGAGGTTTTGCACTTTGGAGCTATGCACTCTTCACATCCTTTAAAACCGAACAAAGGCAACCGAGATTTATTATTAAGATCTGTCTTAATATTCCTTTTTGCCGTTGATGTAGAATTGGCAGGAAGTGACCTTGTGGATTTTTTTGACAAAGACCTCTGGACTTCGCAGGCCAGGTAATTCCGGGAATGGTGGTACACCTTAATGGGTTTTTGGCAAAAAGGTGCGAGACAGCTGCGGCACTTGCCCAAATTTCGATTCCTCAGATCGCAGGCAACGAATTTGGTGTCATTGTGCTGAATTAACTGGAAAGGAGGATTTTCTTCACCACATTTCTCTGGCGTATTTTCTTCATCCATTTAATTTTATTTTTTCATAATAATTTCTAGAAATTTTTGGGGGCTCCAAAAAGTGAAGTAAAATGAAACGGGTGGGTGTCGCCACATTTTCCTAGACTTTCCGCTTATCCTAGCGCTTTTTATCCTGCCTTTTCTTTTTTAAATATTTTTTTTTCGTATTTTTGGCGACAATTCCACGTCACACATCATTAATTTTAAATTTCTGTCATAAATATCCGCGTGGGGGAGGATGAGCAGCGGGTGGCGACGGGTCACAAAGGTGTCAAGGTGAAATTATGGCAGCAGCAAGCTCTTTCTCCCCATGACCTCTGACCTCCCCCTGTTGGCCTGCTTTTTGATTGACTGTTTGTCACTTGGGCATGGAAATTAAAATGGAATTTTTTACGCTCGCAGTTTTTGGTATGGTGATGAATTGATGGATATAAAAATATTTATGATTCAATTTGCATTCCGTAAATTCATTGCTGTTCAGCTTAGATCGTTAGCTTGATTTCATTTCGGTAATGAAATTATATTTGGATTTTAATGACTGGAACGTTAGGGGATAATTAAAATGCCAGCAAATTAATGTAATTTAATTTTGAATTTCTAAAACTGAAGTTACTGATATATTACGATATCCTTTTAATTAAATTATAGCTTAATGTTACACTAAAACTTTTTTTAAATTGTGTATTTAAATTTTTCTGATGTTTTTTCCTTTGCACTGATTTTTTACCTTGTTTGTAAGTTTACCTCTAGAAATCTCTGCAAAATCAGATTAATGCCGGATTCTTCTCTACACAGATTCGCAGAACATTAAAGTGTTCGGATTCGCCATCTGTGCGGAGCAGAAGCTATAACTTTGAGCCCCCGTAACCGTAACCGTTAACCCAATAAACCACTTTTAGGGGCGACAACCGAACGGCGGGCGACTTTTGCTGTTGGCCTCAGTTTCACACCGTCAACAAGTGACAGGCACACCATCGCAAATATCCATAGACACACACACATGTACACACGTACGTGTTACTGGCATCACGTCAAAGTTGGTTGGCATCATGCCACAGAAATTTCAGTTGGCTGCAACAAAAGCGAGTCAACAAAAAAAGTGGAGAAACGCTCAAAACAACAGCAGAAAAAAATCGGGATAAATTTAAATACACATACACACACATACGCAGGAAAGGGACGGCAAGAAGGAGAAGAAGTGATCATAAGGGTGTCCCCAAAAAGTATACTATGAATTTTTATGGCGCATTTTCGGTTTTTTTAATTTCAGCAAGCAAATGACTGGCAAGAGGGGGGAGGGGGAACCCTCTGGTGTCCTGATGTACGTGATAATTCCATATATTGCAGTCCTGAAACCATGGCATCCCAGAGGTGCCCGTGGAAGAGGTTCTTTTTTGAAGCATCACAGGGTCAGGTTAAAATAAAAATTAACTTGATGGCGAGGCGACACGTTTGCAGGAATTTAATTATTTAAAAAGCATTTTTACTTCTCTTTTTTAAATTCATATACAGATTTAAGCTTTTGCAGGATTCTGTTGATCTACAACATATTATTTGCAATAATTGCGGTTATGTTTATTTGAGTTCAGAAAAAATATTTAAAATATTTTGAATATTTACAGGATTAAAAAAATCTGATATTTTAATTTAAAAAGAAAAGCGTTGTTCAAGAATTTAGTTATTAAAGTCTCATATAAAGGGATATTGTAAACTTTAAGTAAATTTGTCACCCGCATATTTTAATTTTAATTGCGGATTTGTTTATTTGAGTTTAAAAAAATATTTAAAAAATCTGATATTTAAATTGAATAAGTAAAGCGTTGGTAAAGAAATTAGATATTTAAGACTCAAGTTAAGGGATATTTTAAACTTCAAGTAAATTTGTTACTCGCGTATTTAAATTTCCAATTTTCAGTATATAAAGCCACAAAAACTCCTTCCCATCGAGTTCCACGCAGTTTCCTTAGCAGACTCACAGGACTCTTTGTGCCATTTTACACCTTGTCGAATGGTTAAATGCATTCAACTGTCAAAAAGCCGCAGACAAAAGTTCAATTTAATTACCACTAAAGAAAGTGGGGCAACAAAAGGTGTGGCATTTCCATTGGTGGCCCAAAAACTTTGGATCCCAAAGTCTGGCAATGAATCCTGCCGACTGCCAATGAGTTTTACAATGTAATTAAGCAGACAGGGAACTTTTTATTTTTTATGCTTTTTAACCGGGGGTAAATGAGGTCAGGGGGCGTGGCAGAAGGAAGGGGTGGAGAAGGAGGAGGCTGTAGAAAAACCGAAAGTCGAAGGGTGAAAAGGAAGTTCCTTTCTGTGAAAGCTTTCTTCGTTATGCATTGTAATTTGCGTGTAATTTTCAAGGCGTTGGGAAAAACGTGGAAATGCTTCTGCAACAACAGCGGCAATAATAATTGCAACTGCAACAGCGGCAACAACAACAGCAACAACGGCAACAACAACAGCAGCTGCTTTAAGGCAAAAGTCTCATTTATTTTAATGTGTCGACGCTGACGACGTGCAAATGTCTGCCAGTTTTCCAGCAGGTTTTTCCCTTCAGGTTTTCAGTTCGCCAGCGAATTTTCCATGTTCAAATTGCTCGCAGATGCAACGCAATTGTTTGCCAGTGTGCGTGTGTTTGCATGAGTATGAGTGTGAGTGTGAGGCATTGTGTGCGTGTGTGAGTTGTAATTATTAAGCTGACAATGCAGATGCTGCTCTTCCCGCTGATTTGAGCAGGGTTGCATTTCGATTTGAAACCAGATACATTTATAAAACTAAAAAAAATGCATTTCCCAAAGCAACGAATTAAAGGGTGTTGAATAAAGTTTTTAGTTTGATAAAAGTCTTTTAATCGTTTATTGTTTAATTTTTGTTTAATCTATTATGATAAGATATAAGATATATGTGGAGGGATTCTATTGAATTTCTAAGATCTTAGAGTCCTAGCAGCGAAAAAAAAAATAATCTTTAATATTATGGCTTGGGATAAAATTAAGAAACTGAATTAAAAGAATTATTGGGGGCCTTCATCAGTAGTAAAATCACTTAAATCCCCTGCTGATCGCAACTGCATCCCTGGCTTTATTTGCCCTGTCATCCTCTGTGGGTCAAACCCCTCATGGCTCATGGCTCATGGCTGACAACGGTCATAACAATGCCAATTTTAATGGTCATTACAATGCGGCTCATAACCATAAAAAATGCACAGCCAACCAGCAACAGCAGTGAAACAAGAACGAGAACAACAACGGCGGGAACAACGCGAGGAATCATGAGCATTTATTGGGCTTATGGGCCGTATTAATAATATTCATCTGTGCCGCACTCCCCAGATCATAGAATAAAATGCAAATGAATTAAATTTCAATTTTGCAATACAAGCAGCCAGAAAAAAAAAAAAAAAACGTATCTGCGCATGTATACATTTTATGGGTAAACGAAAACAATTTGAAAATATAAATATTTGTGTAGTTTTTTTGGGGATGTACCATTTTATCAGGGATTTTATTTTGGTTTTTCCGATGGCACAGATTTTTTTTTGCATGAAATGCATATTTGAGTGGGAAGAGACCTAAAGTAGCCAGTGCTGATTACATTAATCTGGTTTATTCAGAAATGTATACATTGTTTTCATAGGTTGAATGTTTTCATTAGTCGAACAGTGGTATCAATCCAGGTTTTAAGCCAGGGAATGTTGGCGAATACACTGGGGGTATTGAGGAAATCACAGGCATTGTTCCAGGAGACGATTCCAATTAGTTTGTTGCCGGAAACCAGAGGACCGCCAACGAATCCTTGACAGGCGAGGGGCACTATTCCCCGGGGTGCAGCGCAAATCTCGTCCACATTAAGAAACCGTCCTTTAATAGCATGTCGTACAGTGCACATCATTTGGTTTTGAATCTTAAGATTCACCCTCAATAGTATTTCCGATGAGGGGATCAAAGACGAGAGTTGTCCCCAACCCGAAACCGTAGCTTTAGTTCCAGCCGATGGCACTGAGGTGGCCAACTCAATGGATCTAACATTGCCGCTTAATATCAAAGGTTTAGTCAGTTGAAGTATAACAACATCACTGGGTCTTAGACCCATAACTTGGATGCTTTTCTTCTTTACATAACCCACAATACCTCCGAAGTTTTTCAACGCGGAACCCACTCGCACTGAGATGAATTTCACATTGGTTGTTCTTACACACTCTGCTATAGTTAGGACTATATCTTCACTATATACAACTCCTCCGCCATGATGCTTGCCGTTTATTTGAACCGAAGCCTGCCAGGGAACTTGACCAATGCCGATAGGTAGCTCATCCAACAGCGAGTCCGAAAATATCCCAGAAACTAATAAAACTAGCAGAAAACTTTTGAGCAGCATTCTGCTGCTACGTTCTTTATAGAGTGCATGTGAAATAGCCTATTAACTTATTTTATATAGATAACTTGTTGGATTTTTACTGAGAGAGATGCAAGTGGTTGTAACGACGATTACTAAATCGGTAAACAAACAATGTTATTGCTTTTCTGCCAAGCTTTTGTTTAAAATAAGCAGCTTAACCTATTGTTCACTAACCTCATTAAATAAATGATATAATTTTAGAGAATGCATTTCAAAACAGATATATTCACAGTCGCTTTTGCTCATTAATTGAGGCTTCCAAAATAAGTACAGTGAATACTGGAAAAAAAAATTATACCCATATATATTTTTTCATTCTATAATTTAGAGCTTGAAAATGATCAATATTTTCGATATTTTGACAGTATCGAAGGGAAAACGCAAATTAAATATCTACAAATAGGTCTACTTCAAGTAGATTCAAGTAGATTTCATTTTTTTATTTAAATAGGTACATAAAAGTTTTCAGTGCAGACTGCGTTTTCAAACATTAATTTACGCGTGAAATACATTTTCTTTGGCCACTTCTTGGAAACCTCTTATGGTAATTACGATTATCAAGCATACGCAGTGGTGACCATGGCAGATAATTTATTTACAAAAGTGGCAAGCAAAGTTTATCTTCTGGGCGACAGACAACAGTTGCCATTTGGTTGTTGATTTTAATGAAAGAATTATGGCCTCGCCTTGGGGGCGAAAAGCCGAACTAAATGGCTTCCTGTGGCTGCAGTTTTTCCCGTTTTCCGCTCTTCGCTTTTCACCAGCTTTCCCCTTCGCATCATCAAAAAAAACCTGCTGTGCAAGACGTATAAATATATATTTTTCAAATTGTAATTTAAAACATTCTGGAGCGAAGCCAAGTAATAATTTGTGTTGCATTTGTGCATCCTTCGTCCTGGCAACGGATTTCGCATTTTGAATTGTGGAATGGGAATGGGAATCGGAATGGGAAAGGGTATGGAAATGGCGGAATTGATGCGCTCGACTGCACTGAGCCCGGGTCTTATCCTCGTCCTCCCATCAGAGGAACCCAGCTGGGAGGAGCTGGCATTGTTATCGTATCCTTTTTCGCGCTCTCCTCCTTCTTTTTCCCCAAGTGCCGGCATATCAATGCGACTGCTTGAGAATAGCATTTTATTGCTTCAAACAACATGGAAAGTCAAGTGTTGCAGTCGCTCGGAATTGTTCACCCTCCCTTTGCCCCCTTTTTTATATTTTTTCTGGATATTTTCCCCGTTTGGCGAAATCGGTTCGGCGCAATAAATTCTATTAAAATGCAATTTGAAGGCTCTGTGATTTTAAATAATGCCAAGAGCAGCCATCGGGTTAATGCAGACGGAGTCGGCATCCTTGGCGCTTTGTTATCCTGGCAATCGCTTCCTTTTCTTTTTTTCGCTCAGCCCTTCCAGCTGGAGATTTATGCAATCTTCTGCTGCTGTTTGTTTGCCGGATATTCGAAGTATTTATGGTCTACCCGGAGGGTCCTTAGCTAATTGGGTTGTCAATTTAATCGGAAGTTGTTGGGGCTTATCTTCATGGATTTCCCCTACTTTTGGCCGCAAAATAGGCTTTCTTTCTCTGGTGTAAATACAGGGGGAAAACCGCAGGCAAAAGAAATTGCAATTTAATTAATGCCAAGTGAGAGAGGGAGAGACGAGATTAAAATAGTTGAAATGTCATTGGCACCAAAATCTCGGGGGTTTAAGGGGTCAGTTCTCGGGGCTCTCGGCCAAAAGTCATCAAGGGGTCAACGTGTTGACCACACAATTGTGTGGTCACGTGATGACTTTTTGGCGCTGCTCTTGTGGTCATAATTTCAGCCACAAAAAAAGGGAGGAAGCCAGGAGATGAGGCAAAGAAACCACAGGCAATTCGCTGACTCGACTCCGGGGATTGTCTCCGGCTTTGCTATCTGTTTGGCTTCTGCTCTTTAAGTTGCTCGGGAGTTCGTGTTAAAAATTCATTAGGAGTTTTAATTAAAATTCTCTGTGTGGCCCACAAAGGCGCTTTCAACACTTAACGTTCTGACAGCTCACAAAAGAAGTTTTGCGGCAGAAACTTAACAAAAATAAAAATGAGCACAGAACTTGTTTTGTGGCCAGGCATTACCCTCGCTGGTCCATAATTTTCCCGCGCCCAAAAGGAAAGTGGTGGGGGGAAATGGGAGGACAGCCTCCATATGTGACCGTCGGCACTTTACATGCATGACTACGTGTCCTTTTAATATCCTGTGTGTACAGGCGCCGCTTCAAAACTTCCGCTGGCAAATAAATAAAATATAATAAACAAAGCAGGTTTCATTTTTTTGGTATATATTTATTTTTTGCTGCAAGATATGTTTAAATGGGCTTTAATTGCTCAAACATTCACTTTTTATATGACTAATTTACAACTTTAATGAAAAAGTGCGAATATTTAATTTACAATTAAGTATTTGTATAATTTTTTAATATTAGATAAAGAATATATTTCACAAAATTTAAAAAGTATATTTTTCTAATAAAGAAATAATAATTTTATTGCTAATACTTATTTGAATGATTACTTATAATTTATACATACCTTCCCATAAAAGTATGGAAAGTAACAGCTTTATACGGAAAATGGCTAAATTATCTGCGAAATAAACTCATTGTGCATAATGTATGTACGTTGTCAACTTTCGTAATTACAGCAGAGTCTATAGGTGTTTTTAAAAGCTGATGCCTTTGGTCCTCATCATTCAATGTTATCAATTATTTTCCTCCAACGCCAATTAGTTGGCACTAATAAATGCCCAACATTTCGTGTTTTTCGTGTAATATGAACATTTTTAACTCTCTAATGGAATTCTCTAGTGAATTACCAGGGCCATGCGTCATTTGACGCATTATTGTGACATCCTGGCCTCGATTCCAGTTGGCGTTCCATCGACAATGCGATGCTCATCGCATAATCATAATTAGTTTTGCATAATTTGAGCCACTGGTTGTTCGGTTGGCGTTTCGGGAGTGAAAATTCGTCCTGTCCCCCAGCACGATATTCAATTACAAACATTGCCAAATGTTCTAAACATTTCGAGTGTCTGGCTGAAATTAATTTGTTTGTGTAACTGGGCAAACTAACACTAGTCCTTTCGTCCTGTTTCTGCTCCTGCTCCCTTCAGAGGTGGAGGTGTGCAAACAAATTGCGTACGTGTACGGGCAGCGAGGTCCTTTTGGTCCTTTGGTAATTGTAATGCGAGCAAATAAACGAGCGAGTGCCACACGAATATTCATGCAACACTGTTACACACACACACACATGGACGAAGGACATACAAATGGAGATGGAGTGCAAGGCAAATGCCGACAGGACAAATGCTTGATGTGGGTGCCTTGTTATTGTCATACCCTCGAACAGCACAAATTTTTAATTTCAATTTTTTCCCTTCGCACTTTTCCACTTTTCCGCTTTCCGCACAGTTTCCCAAGTCCGAAACAAGTTGTGTTACAAATTTGAATTTATGTCCTGCCAACACCTGCGATATCCTGCTGCGGTGGTCAGCTCCATGCGGGTGGGGTTCTCCGTTTCATTTTCATTCTCGTTTTGATCGCACAAAGTTTTGCCAGCACATTAGCTACATATGACACCTTAAAGTGTTTACCTGCTTGGGGATCGCAATCCTGGCCAAGGGGAATTCCCTGATTGGATTCGGGGTGGGGAAGGACTTGCAGGATGGCTGGTTGCTAAAATTGAATTCACAAAGTTATGAATAGTTAATAACTGCGGGGAAAGAAAGGAGAAGGACGATGTTATGGGATTGTGAAAGGAAAAAGTTAGAAGAGACGAAAGAACGACATTGCAAGCAATAGAGGATTTTTTGGTAAATGCTTTTGGAATATTTAAATTGTGACTTGAAATATCTGAAGAAATGAAGGATACAATAAATGTTGAAGCAATGGCAATCGAATTTTTTTTTTTAATATTAAAAAAATACCTAGGTATGAGAATATTTACTTATATTAGTTTCTCTTTCAAATTGAAGTATTTATTTATATTTTCTTTATTGTTTTATATTTCCCGTTTGTAGGATTTCTTTGAATGTCTTGCGATTTAAAATTGTTCTAGATTTGTATTGCTTTAAAAACATAAAATCAAAACTCTCCCTTGAAATCAAAGACATTAAATCTCGAGTAAAACAATGGTGACGCTCTCTGCATATCGCCTGTCATATCGACCATCCCGATATCCAACTCGCAGTGCCCAAGGCTGTGTTTTAGCGACCAGACTTCAACAAACCATGACCCCAATCTATCCCATCCATTGTTCCGACATCGACTGAATTATTAATCAACAATAGGACCGCACAGAACAATGCCATTGGAACCTAACACTTTCCCGCTGTCAAACTCGGACTCGACATGTGTGTGGAATCGGAGATATATAGATAAACCCGCACCATATAGTATATACCCCTCCCCATACCTGACTGCTGTCAATGCAATCCACATTTACCAGAGCCTTTTTCATTAGAGCAATTTTCGTTAATTACTGCTGACTAACGATGGGAAAAGGGAAAGGGAAAACACTTTGAAGGCACGTCGGTAAAGTGTCTGTTTCAATTTTTCGGGAGTCGAATAATGCAGAGTAAAAAATTAAAATATAAATATATAAATAAAATAGGATTAAATATTGTATTTTTTCTGTTAAATAATGTAGACCACAAATAAAAAAATTTTGCAAACTTTTTGTTTTAAAAACAAATATAAAATCAATATAAATTATAATAAAATAAAATAAAAATATACATTTTTCTCAGTGCACAAGTTCATTTGCTGCAGTTCTTGTCAATCGATGTTGCAGTTGCCGGACCTCGATTTCATTTCGGTTTCGCTTTTGTTTTTCTTTTTGGCTTTGGTCTGGCATCTCTGACCTATAAATCATCTAATGGCCGGGACAGGTTGGGTTTTCGTTGGGTTCTAGGGGTGGGGATCATGATGGAGAGGTGGATGGGAATGGGTTCGGGGATT